CCTGTATAAATGACACTAACCTGTATAAATGACACTAACCTGTATAAATAAAGGTTGAATGAATGTAAATAAAGTGGAACATTCCAAAAACTACGAAGACTACAAAACCCATAACTGTGACGCGTACAGCCCCGAATGAGCCAAACTTTTTATGATAGGAAACAGCCGAAGGAAACTGTAAACAGGTAAAACGTGCGAGTGCTGACTCAGCATTTACACAATGAGTCAGTGGAAAAGTTAAACCTCAGCCTGAGCGTCGCACAGATGATGATGTCATCAAAACACGTCTTTCTCTGTGGAAGCCTCAAATAGTTTGGACTTCACTCACGTCCTCCTCTCTGGGTCGCTGCTGCTGATGTCCTGCAGCCACTGAGAGAGGAGGGGGACACCTGGACAGGTCTCCAGTCCATCACAGGGACACCTGGACAGGTCTCCAGTCCATCACAGGGACAATTTAGAGTTACCAATCAGACTAACATGCATGATTTTGGTCTGTCTGAGGAAATCGGAGAAATAATATTTAAAAATTGTCTTCAGAAGAATGAGGACATGTTGGACTGGAGATCTGTCCTGGATGTCCCACGCCTCTCACAGTGACTGCTGGATATGGATACCAGTGACCCAGAAAGGAAGAAGTGAGTAAAGATAATGGATGGATGTTTTTATTACTGTTTTCTTTCAAATTGTTCTATCAAACAGGAGAGAAGCCTCTTTGCTGCAGGTTCTGACGGAGCGGGAGGTTCTGACGGAGCGGGAGGTTCTGACGGAGCGGGAGGTTCTGACGGAGCGGGAGGTTCTGTTGGGTCAGAATAAAAGTTTGAAACGTCTCCAGCTTCACTCAGAGTCACATTCAGCGTCACCGCATGAATAAATCCTCTTTACAAATAAAACGTTGTTTTATTTAAACTGCACGACAGAAACCCTGACAACAACCTAGATGTTTTTATCAACGTCCATGAAGCTCTGAAATAAGAAGCTCAGCTGTGAATGTTTTTTATTTGTGTAGATCAGCTGGTTGGTTTGAAGGCACTGCTCTGAGATCAGTTTGTTGGAGCTGAACATCAATCTGTATTTTAACACAAAACACAAACTTTAACTGCTGAGAACGAAAAAAAAAAACATTTAAATCTAAAAAAGTTTGGGTTTGATTAAAGCTGCACGTTCAGGATTTTAAGTTTTTATCCCTGAACAGTTTTTTCTTGTTTTGTTCATTTCTTGTTAAAAACGACTCTGATGAGCGACAGCGACAGATTTTAACGGTTAAAAACACAAAAACACGCCGGCGTTCGTTCGTCCCGACGTAAAAACACATTTTAAAGATTTTCAGCTGCAAATCTGATCTGATCCGCCTACAGACGGAAAACGAGCCGGTGATCGGAAGGTTGCCGGTTCAACTCCCTGAGCTGACAACAGTAATGGGTGAGGTGAAACCCCCTGCCCCCACACCCCTGAGCAAGGCCCTTAACCCCCCAGATGCTCCACCTGTGACGGGAAAAATGCAGAATTCATTCTTTTTTTAAAAACAGCTAAAATGACTGAAAACGCTGAATATCAGCTGAAATTTGAAAGTAGCTCAAATACTAGAAGACGCCAAGGAGAGGACACAAAAAGACAGAAATGATGCCTAAAGAAGAGACGAAGGAGACAACAAGGTCCATGAAGAGACACAGAGAAAGATTGGAAGGAGAGATCTGGTGTTCTTCAGAGGTCCAACAGAACTCTGACCCGGACCAGCTGAAGTGAAGCAGCATCCATTAAAGCTGTTCTGACCCGTCACACAGGTGGAGCGGCGGGCCGCTCTGTCAGCACCCGGGGAGCAGTGAGGGGTTAGATGCCTTGCTCAAGGACACCATGTGGTGGAGAGTTGAACCTGTGACTTTCTGGTCCCAAGTCGGCTGGCCAGCCGCTGCACCACAGCTGGATGCCGACATTAACTGGACCTTCTAAAGTTCTGGGTTTGGATTGTTTTCTCAGCTCCAGCTGTGAACAGAACATCTGGACTCGGACCCAGCGGTTCAGGTCTCCTTCGCTTTAAACTCCTGGCGCTCTCCGCGGTGCTGAAACGGAACTTTCCATGGTTCTGGTTCCGGTTCTGGTCGCGTGGCTCGGACTCGCGGACAACAAACAGAGTTTGAATCGAGGATCCATTTAAACGCATGAAAAGAGGACGGCGCGAACAGAACCGACAAGGTTCGGACCCGGTCCTCCTACCTGCGCCGCGGAGCCGCCGGCCGGTCCGTCCACAGAGGCGGGTGAGGGATCGAACACCCGGTCCCGGTACAGGGACCAGAGGCCCACGTTGGGCAGGAAGAGCAGAGCCGCCAGCAGCAGCCCGGTGACCTGCAGCAGCCGCTTCTCTCTCCGCCTCATGGCTCAGCTCCGCTCCGCGCGCCCGAGAGCCCGGTTATAAAGCGGCGCTGCTGACGTCACATCCGGTAACAGCTTTCAGAATAAGGCCCCGTTTAAAGCATAAAATTTATTTTTATTTTCCTGAACTGCTTGGAACATATCACCTGCCGGCATAAATGGCGGCAATTGTCTGTCTGTTAGCAAAATATTCCACAAACCATTAAACGGATTATAATAAGTCAACCTGATCTAAGATGGCCGCCACAGCTAATCAGCAAATATTAAAACAGCTTTACCTCGTTCAGCTCAAATAGTAGCTGAGAGTCATCAGAAAAGCTGTTTCATCCCTCGTTTGACCATTATTTAATACATCTGAAATACATAAATATACTTTATATTTAGTGTTTGAAAATACTTTAATAAAGAATTCACCTGTGAAACTTGACTGACTGATTATATATATATATA